TTTTTTTTTTTTTTTTTTTTTTTTTTTTTTTTTTTTTTTTTTTTTTTTTTTTTTTTTTTTTTTTTTTTTTGCATTCTATGCTAGGCTACCAGCCGGGCCGCCCGGGTAAGGACCAGAGAAGGTACCAGCAAAAATAAAAAACAAAAAAAAATTCAAAAAATTCCGAAAAAAAACTATGTTATGAAGAAAAATAAACTGAACAACTTTTGCCTCAGGGTCACATCGAAATTCTGCACCAAATTTAGGGGAAAAAAAATAAAATGTAAAAATAGTTTTTATTTTTTTATTTTTTTTATTGTTTTTGGCCCGGCCGGGCAAGTGACCCCGAACCCTGGAGGTGGGCTGGATATCACAACCGGTATGGATCCAGTTTTCATAACACCTCTAAGGGTTGTAGTGGTTACGATACTTCGTTCCTGTGGTGGAGGGTGCCGGTTTGAGGCCGTCCATGCACGGCAGGGTATGATGCCCTAAACACACGTTGCTCAGAATCACTGTGAGGCACCCGCAAACCCGTGGGCAGTTGGCCAGTGTGTGTGAACGGGCTTGGTAGCGGTGGTGGTTTACGTGTTGTTCGACGAAGTGTGCGTGATTGTTAAGTCCGTGGTGTGGTGTGCGTTGGGTGTGTGGTATTGTGTTCAAGGATGCTGCAGCCCTGGAGGTGGGCTGGATATCACGACCGGTATGGATCCAGTTTTCGTAACACCTCCAAGGGTTGTAGTGGTTACGAATCTTACGATACTTCGTTCCTGTGGCGTAGGGTGTCGGTTCGAGGCCGTCCGTGCACGGCAGGGTATGATGCCCTAAACACACGTTGCTCAGAATCACTCTGGTAGCCTAGATTCTATTTTTATTTTTATTTTCCTCTCTCTCTCTCTCTCTCTCTCTCTCTCTCTCTCTCTCTCGTGCGCGCGTTTCCATTATGCATTCGGAAACGGGAAGCGGGAAGATTCATTCTCATTTGCGTTTTTAAAAACGAGAGAGAGAGAGAGAGAGGGGCGGCGAGTTCGTCGTGGCCCTCCGTTGTCGGGACCGGTGGGTCCCGAGATAAGTCTTGTACAGTGAGAGGCAGTATATCGCAGAATTGTGCACGACAGAGAAAACCGGAGGCAAGAAGGGTACGAGGACTAAAGGCATTAGTACTGACACTTGGAGATTTAGAGGTTGCCTGGAGGTGCCCGAGCCACTGGGGCAAGGAGAGAGCGGAACGGCGAGCGACAATAGACCATAAGAGATTAGCAAAGACGACACTTCTCCCGAAAGGGAGAAGAACCGTCGGGGAAGGTGGTGTCACAAGTTGCACGACGCAGGGATAAAAGAATTGAAAAGAAAGAAATAAGTGAGGTACTGGCGCACGAGGACGTGGTCCGGGCCAAGAGGGCCACCAGGATGCGACGTCAAGAAGGTCAAGGGGCCATGAGCCAAGTAAAGAGCCACAACCAGGAAGATCGGCACGCGGAACAAGAGGAAGACAAGGTGTCGGGGACCACCGGCGGGACTAGCGTCGGGGACCACCGACGAGACTAATGTCGGGGACTAGCGCGGGACGAGTACCGGCGGTACCATCGATGGGACAAGTACCGGCGGGACCACCGGTGGGACGAGTATCGGCGGGACCACTAACGGGACTAGTGTCGGGGTTTAGCGTGGGAAAGTGGTGGGGACTTGTGACGTCTCAAGGAAAAATTGTGGCATACCGTGAGGCGCAAATAATTAAAACGAGATGCACCGTCAAGATCAAGGATCTTGACGACCAAAAATATTAGCACCACTAGCATGAGCGCTAGTGGGAGCAAGCGGGAAGGTCAAAAGAAAAAGAAAAGCAAAGAAAACTTAGAGGTAGAGGCATGGGAGCAATCCAAAAAATCTCGGATTGGGTTCCCCCAAGAAAATGGAGCCAAAAGGGACTCCATGAGAAAAATAGGCCTCCGGGAGAGAATCGGAGTATGGGGGTCTACCGTTTGGAAGTGATAGAGGCAAACGGATGCTCCCATGGGCATGGAAAGGCCTCAAGTGCAGTCCGAGAAATAACGGACTGACCCTTGGGCATGGGAAGGGCCAAAACTAAGAGGAGGAGCCTAGAAAAAGGCCTTAACGGCTAGTTGACACCTGACATGCAAAAA